TAAGCCTTTATTCCATACACTGGATTGGCATGGACATTGCAAAATTATAAACCACTCTGTCCTTTTATACTAGTGACTTCAGATTGTCAGGTAAGTAGAATGTTCCAAATGGGCAGGGAAAGTTCCAGTTGGGGTTCCTCAAAATAAGGAGTAGTGAAAGATAGGCTATCATTTCCCACTGCTTTCTGGCCAAATGGGGTGGTGTATATGTTAATGAAGGTAACAGTGGTCAATGACAGTAGAAAGAACCTAGCAGGTGGCAGTCTTGATTAACAGGATGCGATGTCCAGCAAACGGTGAAAACAAGATGCACAGTAACTATGCACTTGGGGAGGAATCTCTTTTGAGCTTTCTGCAGATGGAGATGATCAGAGATGAGAATTAGGCTGGATTTCTTATTTGTATTGTTTCACCAGGTGACCAGATCTTGTTGACAAAGGCTTGCTTTGACTTTTGGTGGTTGCAGGTTCCATGGATCATTATCAAATTACCCGGTCATTTTGCATATGTGATACTCAGTGCAGCAGGTATGCCTGGAAGGCCCTATTTATGAGACATGTATTACTTATGTGGCTGCTAGTCTGTAGTTGATGGGAGTTGAATGCAGTATGTGGCGTTAGGCTTGAAGGGCTCTGAAAGACTTCACACTTAGGACAAAAATCATTGTCTCCATTTCTGTGGCTAGGTAGTTTTTTGTTGTTGTTCCTGTTATTGGGTTTGTGTGTACGTGTGTGTTTTCAATCCAAGGCCTTTACATTGAGGTACATCCCCCACCCCCACTCTACTTTTAAAATCTTTGAGACTGGGTCTTGCTAAAGTGTTAAATTGCCCAGACTGGGCTCAAAGTTGCAATCCTCCTGCTGCATCCTGGCAGGGAGCTGGAATTACAAGTGTGCAGCACCACAACCCGATCAGTTCATTCTTATACACAGTGTAACAGTCATTGTCAGAAAGTTAGGAAAAGTCCAGCACAGACCGTGAATTGTATCACTTTCATGAATGAACTCATATGTTTAGTAACACAGAGCCTTGAGAGGAAGAGTTTTATTATGGAATCTAAGGCGATGGGTTCCCAGGAACTTTAGGGAATTGACAGCAGTATTGCAGCTATGCACTGTGGCATAACAAACCATCTCTTTGTGGTTCTGGGGGTTGAGAATTCAGATAGAGCTTAGCAGGAATGCTTGTCTCAGCTCCATGACTCTTGGGCCCTCATCTGGGAAGACTCACAGTGACTCAAATGTTGGAATTTTCTAGAGGTTCTTTACACAAAACATCCGGTGGCTGGGCTGGGAATGGTTGATTAGAGTGCTCACATGTAGCCTTCCATATGGCTTAGGATTTCTCGGTGTATGGTGGCCTCAGGACAGTTTATTTTTTCATATGGTACCCTTATGGATCCAAGAGTGAGTCTTCCTGAGAACAAGGTAGACGCTGCATGACCTTTTCTGATTGGGCCTCAGCACTGTCGCTTCTGCTGCACTCCATTGGTCAACACAGTCACAATCCACTCAGATTCAAGGGGAAGTACTTAGACGCCACTTCTTAATGATGTTCTTTCAAATTGTACTTTATGATGTACAAATTGTACTTTAAAAGCTGTCACAATGGGTATCATAGCCTCTTAGGATTCCCAGGAATCTGTCTGGACCAGTTTCTTGTCTTAGATACCTCTGTATCCTACAAGACCTGCTGCCAAACTTGAGGCTACCAAAAGTCAAGGCTTAAAGGGAATTTGGTGAACTGCATAAGTAACCTTGTGACACAGAGAATCTTTGTCCACCACAATGTGTAGGTAGCCATGGCAGTTTGGCAGGCCTTTTCACTATTTTTTACAGCTGGGAATACAAAATTCTAGATCTTGTGGTTCCACCAGTCTTGGATTACTGTTATCTTCTTCTTTTTTTTTTTTTTTGGTACTGTGGATGGAACTCGGGTCCTTGTGCTTGCACAGCAGGCGGCGAAACCACTGAGCTAAATCCCCAGCCCTACTGCTATCTTCTTTCTCTCTATTGGAGATCGAATTCAGAGCCTTCACACTGAGCTACATTCCCAGCCCCCTTCTTCTTCTTCTTTTTTTTTAAATTTTGAGACAGGGTCTTGCTAAGTTGCTAGGTTCCCCGGGCTGAGCTAGAACTTGTGATCCTCCTGCCTCAGACTCCAGGGTGTTGGAATTACAGGTGTGTACCACCATGGCTGACTCTTTTTTTTTTTTTCTTTTAGGGAAGGGTCTTGTTGTCTAGCTGGTCTTGAACTCTTGGACTCAAGTGATCCTCTGGCTTCAACCTCTGGAGTAGCTGGTAGTAGAGCACATGCCACCATGCCTGGCTTGTCATCTTCTTTCTGACACATCTTCTCCACCATCCCCAAAATGAAGTCCAAGGCCCTTAGCATCACATACAAGTCTCTTTTGGAATTGCCTTGACCACTTAGAACTCAGATTCTAGGGCCGGGGATTTAGGTCAGTGGTTCCGCCGCCTGCCTTGCAGGTGCAGGGTCCTGAGTTCGACCCCTGGTACCAAAAAAAAAAAAGAACTCAGATTCTATGCTATAGTACAAAATATAAGCAGCAGCAGAGCATAATTATTGGGGTTAAATCTCCACTTTAGTAGGCCTAATTAATTTCTTGGAATGCAAAAGAAGACTTTTCTTTCTTCAGTTGGGCATAGTCCACAACAAAAATGGCCTAGCTTCCGGTTTTCTATATTTGGCTAGTTTCTTTTTTTTTTTCCTAGCGGTACTGGGGACTGAATTTGGGGTTGCTCAACCACTAAGCTACAGCCCCACTTCTTTTATTTTGAGACAGTCTGGCTAAGTTGCCCTGCTGGCCTCATGCTTGAGATCCTCCTGCCCAGCCTCCTGAGCTGCTCCATCACAGCTGGCTCAGCCAGTTCTTGAGAACACAAGTGTGCAGTGGATTCTAATTCAGGAGCCAATGATCCCCTTTGACCCTTGACTTTCTGTACAGATGCCAGCCCAATGGTCTTGACTCCTTTTACCCTCACGATGAATTGTTTTCTCAGGGTCTTATCCTTTTTGATAGTTGGTCTGTCTCCTATTGGCCAAGGCCGCTGAGTCTATCTCATACATTTTAATAACTCACTCTCAAATTAGTGAAGAAGGGAGCAGTAATCCCTTTCTTTCATCTGGCCCCCGCTGTGTCTAGACATATTTTAAAATATTTTTTGTTTGTTTGTGATGCTGAAGATTGAACCTAGGGCTTTGAACAGGTTAGGCAAACACTACCACTGAGCTACATCCTCAGCCCCATCTTTAAATGTCTAATTCTGTGACTGGCATCTAAGATCATATATCAGTATGTGTGCCTGACACAATTTCACCTGTTTACAGCACCAGAATCCAGGTGTTGATTCTGCAAAAGTGTCTGAAAACATCTATATTTATTTTCAGGGGATTCATGGATCCTTGAAGTATGGGTGCTGGATAAAATATAGGTGCCTGATTAAAAATCTGAATTTCACTGGGCATAGTGGCACATGCCTAGAATTCCAGTACTTGGGAGACTGAGCCATGAGCATTGCATCAAGTTAAAGGCTAGCCTGAATTATATAACGAGACCTTGTCTCCAAAAACAAAACAAAAAATCTGAATTTCAGGTAAACCATGTATACTTTTTTTTTTTGGTACTGGGGATCATACCCATGGTTGCTCTACCATTGTGTTCAGGTGGTGGTGCACACCTGTAATCAATCTATCACTCTGAGCAATTTAGTAAGACCCTGTCTCAAAGTAAAAAAGAAAAAGATCTGGGGATGTACTCAGTAATAGAACACCCTGGGTTTGATCCCCAGTACTGAATAAATAAGTAAATAAAGTTATTTGTCTGAAATTAAAATGTAATTAGGCATTTGCATTTTTTCTTGCTAAAATAAGCAACCCCATCTTTAGGCCAACCACAACTTTTCTAGGTTTATGGATTGTAGAGTAAGAACAGGTGAAGACAAAGTGTATTTTTTTTAAAAGAGCTGCTCAAACAATTAACAATGAAATAACAGGGCAAAGGATAAACTGAAAGAATCCCTTCCCTTCCAATACCTTTAGGGCTAAATATCAGGATATTATTACTGTTGTCTTCAAGATTTACACTGTAATAGAGCGACTATGAGATTTACATGTCACGGACCATTATGGCTGTAATTTTTTTGTTAAATTCCTAGAACAGAAGGATGTTGCACCAAGTTCTTGAAATCAGACTTAGAAAATTAAATTACGTAACTAGCAGATGTTCAGACTGATGAAGGAAAGCGCTGAAGCAAGTACTGTACTTCCAATTGTTCCACAAGCAAGCTGGGACTCTAACCGTGGCAGAAAACTGAAATCTTCATTTCTATCGTTAAGCCCTCATGGAGTCACCATTTAGACTTTTTAATGTTACCCCTAATGTTACCCACAGTTAGCCTGTGACAGGCTAAGTCCCTAACAAATTTCTTCTTACAGCAGATTTTTTTCCTCTTTATTTTGTAAATTTTATTTGGCTTTTAAAAAATCAGGGTGAAAAAGTTGCAACAGTGCGAAGGACCATCGGGACCCCTAGTTCCTGGACTGCGGGTTCTCAACTCGGGTTGGTGGCCTCAGTCTAAGGAAGGAATCCTAGTGAATTCACTAATTCCCTGAATGCACATTTTTCAGCGTGTGAATAACTGTGCACTTTTGTGGGGGAAAGGATCCAAAGTTTTACCTGAAGCTCAAATGCCGTTAAGAAATCCCAACGCAGGACCTGCAGAAGGACTCGAGTGACTCAGAATGGAGGGCCAGACCCCTGTAATAACTGCACCCAAGTCCCGGGTTCCTTACAAAAGTACAAACCGAGTGGGAGAAATCGTGCCCCCTCTAACCAAGTTTTCCGCCTGCCGCATTCCTTCCTTCCAACGCGTTGGCGTGCGCTGACGTCATGACGCCGCACGCGCAGCCCCGCCCCTGCAGAGCTCGGTGCTGGGACGGAACCTGGGCTCCTCTCAAACCCGGAATGTGAGGGTTCGGCTTGGACGTGTGCTGCTCCCCATCCCCCTCTTGGCCCGGGCCTGAGTCCGCTGTCCCCCAGCTCGTCCCCGAAAAGCCAGGGCGGCCGTGCCCTCTGCCGTGGACCCGGGGGGCTGTCGCCGCCCCTCCGAATCCTCCGGGCCGTAGAGGAGTTCGCTACGGAGGGAGGCGGGGGCATTCGGGAGGCGGCGGAGGAGGAGGCTGAGGAGGAGGGAAGGAAGATGGCGGCCGTGGAGCTAGAGTGGATCCCAGAGACTCTCTACAACACCGCCATCTCCGCTGTCGTGGACAACTACATCCGCTCCCGCCGAGACATCCGCTCCTTGCCCGAGAACATCCAATTCGATGTTTACTACAAGGTACGGACCGGGGCCTGCTCGCCGCTCCCCTGCCGCAACCCCTGGGGCCGCACCCCCTTCCACGTCTGCGAACCCCGCGTTCGACCCCTCACCCCTCTTAGCAGGATCGCCTGCGAGATGTCTGGCGCGGGGACCTCGTTACCAGTACAGCACCACTAGATTGCCCCATCCGCTGTCTCCCAAGCTTTGGGGCCTGATAGTCTTCCTGATCAGCCTTGCTCCTTTTGGTGTTCCTTTCTGCAGTGGCCCCCTAGGCTAGGCCTTTTGCGTGGACTTCCTCTGTTTCATCCGTGTCCCACCGGGTGTTTCCCTTCTCTGTCTTTGGGATATTTTCTGCCCTCCCCTCTCAATGAAGTCTAAGCATCAGCTGGACTTTTTGCTCTCCTCCTCCCCCCACCCCTTCCTACTTTCTCATTTCGTTGCCCTCTTTACCCTTGTTTTTTGGTTTGGGGATTTTTTTTTTTAAAACTATATCTGCTTTGTTTCCTTCGTTGCGCCTTTCTCTTCCCAATCGGAAGGGAATTACGGATTATTGGAAATGGTCTGTGTGCTTTATTAGCAAATCTTTAAAGCTTTGTTGGGTTTTTTTGGGGGGGGGTTGTTTACACTTGGTGTTGAATTGGGGATTTTATTAATATGAGAATGTTGTCCCACTCTTTGAAAAGGAAGGGGTGACATTTCCTGAAAGAAAAAAATACTTTAGAAATTTAAATCATGTTCATGTATTTGAAAATTGCAATCTTATAGCATTCCTGAATTGCTCCCCCTCAAAAATCTGAACAAAAAGTCTTCAAGTCACTCACCATGGAGTTTCAAGGGTAAGTGACCTTAGATAGGGACAATTTTTGCAGTGTTTCTGAGAGGGAGGAGAACTTCATGGACTGAACTCGAAGCCTCCTTTTTTCTCTCTCCCCACATTTGGATGTGAATACTGGATCTATTATTCAGTCATTCTTGCCTTGAATCAGCGTGGATAACTACTCTTCAGTAGCCACCCTGCAAAATGTGACCCGGAGTAGGATTTATTATCTTTTAGATCTTAAATATTTCCTCTTAATTTACAAGTTGGTTAGAACAGTGTAAACTGATATTTAACAGATGTGTATATTTTTTTATATATATGGTGTTTTATGGCAGTTGTTTTATTAGGAAGATTGCCGGATTTCTCCACCCTCAGAATATTTTCAGAATTAGCAGCTGGCATACTGCATTCTATTAAATCCAGCTGCTTTGCACCAATTCTAACAGTTACAATATTTTTCCTCTACATATTTGGAGATTCATTTTGGCCATGTATATTATTATTATGATGGATTTAGAGAAAAACCTCCTCTCCCAAATCCCGTTGATAGAGTTACTTTTGTGTATAGGTAAGGAAACTTATGTATATTTAAGACTAATTAGATTTGTCTTTTTCAACCTGGGAAACTGCAGCTTTGTGTGTGCTATTGCTTGTCTGTTTTATTAAATCCTATGTAATCTGGTATACTTTTTAGAGGAAATCACTAGGAATTTAATCTGTCAAAGTACTTTTCCTACTTAAATCTCCTAAAAATATTTGGATATCTTCTAGTAACTTTAACTTCTATTTGGAGCTTTTCCTTTGAAGATTATTATTAGTGAGTATGAACAGATGGTGCTTTTGTCACATTTTCTGTCTCACAGTTCACAAAATTTTAATATTTCTTCATATTAGTACATTTTTACTCCCTAATAATTCTATACTTATTTTGAATTTGGCCTGTGTAAGATGAAAAGGTATTTGATATGTGCCCAGAACTGTTAAGTGTTTTATCTATCTTATCTTCTGCAAGCCTTTAGGTTAAACTGTGGAGTATAGCCCTGTTCTATAGGTGATAATGTTAGGTAAGGTAGTCAAGGTCTCAAGCCTAGTATTTAGTTCCCGAGTACCTTGGTTTTTTGCTTAGAAAGATTTTGTGTCTAGAAGTAGTAGATTTTTTTGAATAGTAGATTATTTTAATGAAAGCTAGTATACAACTAATTTTTTTTTTTTCGGTACCAGGGATCGAACTTGGGTCCTTGCACTTGCGAAGCAGGTGGCAGAACCACTGAGCTAAATCCCCGGCCCACAACTAATTTTTTATTAGCTGCTGTAGTAGATAGAGCGAAAGTCAATCCTAGAACTCGATTTTTAATGGAGCTATAGCAAGGAAAATGTAAACACTATACCAGCGCATAAAAATAAGATGCTTTTTGCCTGGGCATGATGGTACCCACCTGTAATACCAGTTACTCCTCAGTCTGAGGCAGAAGATCAGAAGTTCAAGCCCAGTCTGTACAATTTAGGGAGACCCTGTCACAAAAATAAATTTTAAACAACCCCTGGGATGTAGGTCTGTGGGAATGCCCTGGGTTCAATCCCTACTACCACAAAAACAAAAACAAAACCCTTTTTAAGCCACACAGCAGTATAAATACTCATTCCCTGCCCAACTTTTGAACATTTTTGGAGGCACACTGTTTAGAGTTTCTCCTTTTCTCCACTTCAGAGCCAAGGAGAAACTCACAATCAGCTCTTTTCTACAGTCCCAATTTCCATCAGTAGGCATAATTGTAGACAAAAGTGTAGTAGTTATGGAATCAAAAATCCCCCCCCCCCCCCATTCTTCTTGACTGATGTGGTGCTGTGTAACTGTTTTGGTTAGTACCTTCAGCTAGAGGCACAGTCTTATGTAAAGCATTGGGACAGGAGCTGTGGAATGAATTGGAGGTAAAAGAATAGGACTGTTGACTGCTTCCTAAAAAAGGATGAGAGAGATAGGTTAAATAGAAAGAGCAAAGTATGAAGTGGTTTTTTTCCTTAAAGAATGGAAACCATGGCTGGAAGTGGTGCATGCCTGTAATCTCCGCACTTTGGAGGCTGAGGGAGGAGAATTGCTCTGAGTTTGAGGCCAGACTGGGCTATATAGCAAGACCATGTCTCAAACAAAAGAATGGAAACCATTAGAATATATATTTGGCAGAATGGGAGAAGTCAAAACAGAGTGAGAGGTTAAATATTCCAGTTCAGCAGGAAATAAGTTCTAGCACAGAGTCCTGAGCAGTAACATTAATGAGTCTTGCCCCTTTTTGATCTTTTCCTCCTTCACTGTGTATAAATTAAGTACATAATTATCTCAAAGTGGAGACAGGGAAAGAACACTTTCTCTGAGATGAGAAGGAAATCTAAGTTATCAATATAGGTGATCTGCAAAGAGTGTCGGAATTAAGTGAAATCGTCTGAGGGTAAGATGTAGGAGTAGGAATGGTAGTTCTTGTCTACAAAGAGTACTTCAGTTGGAAATGGCTATTGAGGGTATGGGAAGGGAAGCTGAATAAAAAATACAGAAAAGAATTGACAAGTGGTAGCTAGATGGTTCAGCAGTAACCAGTACCCTACAAAATGACGGCTTTGGTTCTGAATATTTTTTTTTCTCTAAGATCCTGAACCATTTTAGATAAGGTGAATTGAAAAAATTGTTCAACTGTATATATAGTGAAAGGAAATACATTGAGAGGTTCTTTAAAGAACAAAGATTATATGGTCTTTTAATTTTAACTGCTAAATTGTCTCTTTTGTTCCATAAAGTTACATTTTGGCTAGGGGAAGTGTTTTAGCAATATGTTCTATTTGTTTTCACAGTTATTTTTGTTTTTATTTTTTAAGACAGGGTCTCACTGTATTTCTCAGACTGGCCTTCAACTGAGCTCAGGTCCCAGAGTAGCTGGAACTATACAGGCACTCACCACAGTGGTTGGCTATCAGTCTTTGGCTTGATGAGTTGGGTTTTTGGTTTTGTTTTTTTTTTTAATTGTATGTCTCATGCTGAAAATCCTACTAATAAATGCTTGATTTAAGATGAATTTTTTTCTTTTTCTGTATAAGTGTGTGTTACATAGCTAACTATATACAACCTCAACTAATACTCTGATAATCTTTTAAAATTTGTTGGTAATAAATTGGAAGAAATTTGTAACATATAGTATTTGACAACCAAAGAGTTAATATTCTTCTCATATAGAGAGCCTAATAAGATGAGAACTCAAACTTAATGGGGAAAGGGATTTAAAAGAACATAAATAGCCAGCCATAGCATGTATCTGTATGGGAAGGTAATATGTTTTAAACACATCCAGCCATCTCAGTTTCTGTAAATTTGTCACAATTTGAATTAGAATCTCAGAATTTTACTTAGTATAGGAAACTGATTAAATATTAAGTTCAAATAGAGGCATTAATTACCAAATAAAAATGAACCAAGGAAATGTTAAAGCGCAGTGTTTAGGAGAGTTGTACATTTTAAGACAGTCAAGTTTAAGGCTGAGGCAGGACTGAAAATTGGAATCAGCCTAGGTAACTTTCTGATTTAATGAGACCATGTCTCTAAAAAGGGGCTGAAAAGCTAGGTCAGGGTGAAGGCCTTGGCTTCAGTCCCCAGTACTGACCCCAAAAAAGGAAAGTCAACTCTGTTAGAAGGCTACATACTAAAATAGTGTAGCACTGACACAAGAACAACAAAGGGAATTGGATTTATCAAAGGTAGTAGTCCAGAAGGAAACCAAAGCATATTGAAGCATTCACTATGTGGTAAAATTATGAGACAATATTATATTTCAAGTCAGTGGGGGAATCTTAACAAATGTATGATTAATCGGTCTAATTTGGGAAACCACTATACCATGCCATATACCAAAATTTATTCCACATGAATTAAAGATTTAAATATGGTTATTGAAATCCTGGAAGGAGTGGAATAAATTATTGGGTAAGTATCTTACAGGGCAAAATGAAGTTTCTTCTTTAAAGAAATTATTAT